TATTGTTCTTAAAGGTGTGTGGATAACTTTTTTTAATGGAAAATCATGTAAATGCTTCCTGTTCCTCCTCCTCCTCTTTTTTTTCAAAGCTTTCCACTTGCTTTGATTTAATGACCACCATTATAGATTCTGTAAATTTGACTCAACCCATGCATAGAGAAATTGTGGGATGCCCCATCCCTGGGAGTGTTCAAGGTCAGGCTGGATGGGGCTTTGAGCAACCTGGTCTGGTGGGAGGTGTCCCTGTCCATGGCAGGGGTGTTGGAACTGGGTGATCTTTGAAGTCCCTTCCAACCCAAACCATTCAATGATAAAGAGTGTGAAAGCGTTCATACTTCTGCAAGTGCTGGGTTTCTTCCTGATATTGGTTATTCTAATGCTGAAGAAATCCCCAAAACAAGGACTGAGATGGTGTTTGAAAAACACACTGGTACCTTCTTCTGAGGACTACTTTCAGTGGGCTTTAATTTTCCAAATGGCTTTATGAGTCTGGGTCTGAAAGGACTCGAAGATAAGGTAGAAAGACAAGGAATTTTCTAGGACTTTAAAATGAAAGGTACGCCTATAGTACATACGCAGAGATCAAACTTTTATTTCAATCACGTAAGGCCATTTTAACTGCAGAAGAGAAGGTTTCTTCTTAAAGCAGGAAAAGAAAAGGTGGAAAAAGTGTTATCCACAGTGTTTCTGATTTGATTTCTAGTACTGATTTGTCCCTTTACTGCAGCTGTCGACTCTATAAAAGTGTTTAATCTGCAGCCTCTTCAGAGATGTCCTATGCTACTGACTCTTTTCAGACCAAGGTAATTTCCTGAGTGTTCACATGGGGCTTGGGTATTGTGGCCTGCCCCAAAACCAATGAGCTGTTTTCTGAAATGGTTCCCTCAAGTTTGTGCTGTGACAGTCCATTTTCTGTGCGAGTTGGAGAGTCGGACTATCGTGAGGAAGCGTGAGGTGCATCCCTGCTGTCTCTGGGGTTTGTAAACTCTGCAGCAGCAGCAGCAGGGGATGGTGAATGGGATGTTTCATGTGATGAGAAAATCCTTCATTTTTGGCTGCTGAGCAGAGCCACCAAGCAGCCCTGCCAGTTCTATGCTGCTTGATGCCTGTCTCATGCCTGAGCTGTGTAGGAGTTTGCAAAGGCAGATGAATATTTAACATACCCTGAGGCTTTGATCTTTCAGTTGTAGTCTGGTTACGTTTGAAGCCCCATAAAATGTAACTGGCTGAGGTGGTGCTGCTTTTATATCCACTGATGCAGAGACTGGAGCACCCTCCTAATTTCAATTCCTTCTATCTCAGGCAGTTTCATTCCATCTCCCATTCATCTGTCAAGAATCCTTATCACCCGGCTGCTGGATGCTTGTGCTGAAACTGCCCAGTTTTTCAGGCTTTCAGCTGAGTACCTGAACTGATTGGTGTGAAAGCCTTTGTCTGATCTTCTGGCTTCTGAAGTGCCCCAGCTTCAAGGAAAAGGTGGAATGTCCTGCAGGCTGGCCACCAGCCATGCTCTTGGGCTGTGGGCTGAGGCAGGGCTCATGTCCTCTGTTTCTGCAATATGGTTATGGTACAGGATAGTCCCATTCCCTACCCTCAAAGGTGGCCCCTGCTGATAAATATCTATGTTCAGGTGTTGGAAAGGAAATTCTAGGCCTGAGTTGTTGCCAGTACTCCTGGCTGGCTGAGGCAGTGACAACTCCCTGCCTTCCCCTGTAAGGAGTGGTGGTCCCTAACTTGGCATTGCAAAGCCTGTTGTTGCATGGCCCCCCTTGCTTTAAAGTCTTCCAGCACTGATATTCAAATGCCAAGGTCCTCACACAGTCTAGCCCTACAAGACATGAGGGGAAGATCTAGAGAAACACCCAACTCAGTAGAAAGGGACCTTGGGGTGCTGGTTGGCAGCAGGCTCACTGGGAGCCAGCAGTGTGCCCTAGCAGCCAAGAGGGCAAACTGTATTTTGGGTTGTGTTAAACGCGGTGTAGACAACTGGTCACAAGAGGTGGTTCTCCCACTATATTTAACATTGGTGTTGCCTCAACTTGATTATTGTGTGCAGTTCTGGTCTCTAAATATAAAAAGTTAAAGTTAGCCATGAAGAGGTCAGGCAAATGGGACTTGATGATCTTTGAAGGTCCCTTCCAGTTATTGGTCCAGGATGGTCCCATTCCCCATCCCTCAAAGTTGGCTTCTGCTGATAAACACAAGTTAAGGTGTTGGAAGGAGTCTATTCTACCATCTCTACCTTTCTTAACATTTCCTCTTGGCTATTTTTCTGTCTCTCTCTCTTTCACTTGCTGTCTTGGGAATCATGGACCTGTCAAATAGAGCCAGGACTACCTACTGCAGATATTGTGAGCCCATCTAATCTGCCAAGTTCACTAAGATGTAGTGCCTTCTACCTGTGTGTTGGGATCTCCTCTTGGGGAAACGTGGCTGGATTCAAACCTAATGTATTTGAAGTAATTCAATATGCACGTGAAGGCATCTGGGAGAAGAGTGCTATCACAGTGATACGATGTGGGCAGTGGTTTGCATAACCTTAGCAAAGAGCCATCAGGTGAGGTGGCCGGTGGCCTGACCTGGTTTCTGGCAGTCAGGGTTGGCTCTGTACATGGGCAAAGAAGGCAACCTCTGTGACAGCAGAGAACAGCAGCACAGCAAATATTTTCCTGCTGGTTTTGTCTGTCAGAGCCATGGGGAGCTGGGCTGGTTGCTTCTTCTCCATGGCACTATAAGCTTTGTATCCAATATTGATATTTCCATTACCTTTATTTCTGTTTTTCCTCCCTTCTGCTATTTGGTTTCTTAGGTCCATCTCTATTACATACCTTCTCCTTCAGCTCTGGTTTCTCATCATTGGGGTAGAAAAATCCAATTTTGATTGTGGTCTTGGGAAGCCACGAGTGATATTGCTGCAGTTGTGACAAAACTTAATGTGGCCTAAATATTCGAGCAGCCCATGCTGAGGTTTGTACTTCTGTGGGTTTGTGTGCTCCTAGCAATACCTGAGCTAGGTATTTTAAAGCTGATTCAGACATGTATGCGTGAGCTGCAGTCATTTTACTTATGGCAGCATAAGCAAAATTTTGGGAGCACTCTTGAAGGGGAAAAAAATACCATAAACATCTGCATATGTGTGTGTTATTCCTTCAGAGCCTACGCCTTAAGCTATGAGAAGAGACTTTTGTAAATGGCATTAGTATTTAGAAGTCTGGCAGGAATGTTGTGAGCATAAAAAACACATCTCTTGTAAGATTGCCTGTTTTGTAATCTACTAGACTGAGAGCTAATACGCTAATATAAAACTGAAGCAGAGGCCTAAAAACTAAAATCATTACACTGCAGCTTAGTGGAATCTTTTTTTTTTTTTTTTTTTTTTTTTTTTTTGTGAGGGGGCACCTTCTCCTGGGTCTCTTGACCCATGACCTCTTCCCAGGTCTGAGCATACAACCTGCCTTTTTCAAGCCTGATCCTCCTTTTGCACCTTGCTGTCTTTTAGAGGGAAAACTAGTGAAGAGACTTGGGTTACAAGCGGCTCACAGTGTACTCTACTGTAATTCATGCTATGCCTTCTCCTTGTGAGGACGAAGATGAAATCTGTTCACAGACTCCCTTGCTGTGGTCTAGTTGTGTTATCTCCTAGAGGATAACTGGAAACACAAAATGGACAGCAATTCAGAGGTACTAACTTATTCCCCCAGCTCTATATTGATTTACTTAGCCTTGCTGCTGAGACATCCACGAAACATTATAGTGGATTTAAAATCAGAGCAAGAAATAGAATAGGCAAAACTGTATTTTGCTGCACATGGAGGGCAGCTTGCTTTCCTCTTTCTCCATTCTTTGTTTTGGTATTTGCTTCAACAGCTCCCTCTCACCCTGAAGCTCCTTATTCTCCTGTTGCTGCTGAAGGGCATTTATTCCTTCAGGCCACCCCCAAAATAACAGATCCACCCTCCTAGACCCCAGCATGCTGAGATGTAAAGTCCTGTGTACTGTTCCTACCCCTACCCTTATCTAACCCTACTATTTGAAGGAAATAAGGAAGTGGAGAGTAACACAGGCTAATCTTGTTCTGGATGTAAAATGCCCACAGCTCTGTCAGGGCTATAAAAACTGATCCATGTGGACTTTGTCTTGAAACCGTGATACAACTTCTAGCTTGTTTGTGCAGTACAAAACCTTGGTGAAAGAAGGACTGGAAAAACATCATAAGTACATAAATAACACTTTTGTCAAAGGGTATTTCTGTAGACCTCCTAAATATGAGCTTTTGATGGTCTTTTCACAAAAATTCCATTTCTGTACTGTTGTTTTCAAGAGATCTTTTTACAGCCTAATATCAAGCAAGTCATTTCACTTGTAAGCTTAGATGAGGGTATGTTTCAGGGGTGAACCTTTTCAGGATTTATTGAAGGCTCTGATGTACCTTCATTGCATGATGTAGTGAAATATTATCTCCCTCCCACTGTTGCTGAGTTACAAGAGGACTATTGTATCAGACAATTTACTGGGCACAATTTCAGTGCTCAGGCAGATGGGAACAGAAATTTCAGGCCTTTAGGTTGGTCTCATCACTACTGAATTGCCTCTTTAGAGCACTATGCATTCCTTCTAAGTGACAACTTAGTACTGACATCTTTCAATGCAAGCCTGTACACTAGATCTTCTCCTTTGACATTTCCAGATTCCTGTCTACAATGAGAAATAGTGAACAGTGTCGCTTGTCATTGTCTTTATTTAATCTTCTTCTTAATTAAATTTATTCTGAACTTTATCTTAGTATAACACCAAAACAAACTGCTGAATGCGTTGCTACATATATTACATATGTCTGTGGGACATGCAACCTGCTTGGAGGACCTGTACACATCCTTCTCATGCTGTGTGGGTTATGGCATACAAAAATATATTGTATTCGTAGTAGGCTGCTGCATATGTTCAGAAACTGTTGAAAGTCTTTGGAATTCTTATAACTGTTTATTCATTCTTTTGTTTAGGAGTCAGTGACCTGTAAGTGCTCATTATGAAGAGAGATCTGGTTTTCTTGGTGACTCTAATTAGCCTTGCCTTCCTGTCACTGCTAAGGTCTGGATATCCTCAACATATTGCAGAGGAGTCCTGCTCTGTTCAAATCCTTGTCCCAGGCCTCAAAGGTAATGTGGAAGTCTACTGCATCATTCAAATACTAATCCATTATTTCTAACAGGCTAATTTGCACCACTGCACTGACAGCTTCTTACAGAGACAAAGAAGGTGTCTTTCTTATTTGTCCAGTTTGTAGCCTCCTTAAACATGGAGTTTTAAGGTCCTTAAGACGAACTTAAGTCTGTTAAAATCAACATGGTTTAAAGAATGCATGCCAAAGTTTCACAAACTTGCTTCTGATCTTTAATGTTTGTTCCTCTGGTACTTTGCCTAGTTGTTTTCTCTGTGTTTATGCACACAACTGGTGCACACAGAAAAACATACTGTAAAATCAGGCTGTACGTTATACCTGGAGAGGCTTTCATTGCCATTTTGCAACGTACTAAGGGAAGTATTTTGTATTTTCTACTCTTAAACTTGTCTTCCTTTGGGCTAAATTTCCATTGATTTTAAATACCCAAGTACCTTTTAGCAGAAATAAAAAAATAAAGTTAGTCTTTTGGCATTTCTATAGTTTCTGTGGAGAAAAGCACAATTTTCACAAAATATGCCCCCAAACTATTGCCCAAAATATGGCATAATAAATTATTGATCTTTCCATAGTAAAACATGTACTAAAGTAAATCAGTAAATTTCAGTAAAGAAATCAGCATCTGGGAAGAATTAACATTTTAAAGCAACAGCATCCACTACAGTGTGAAATCTCAGCCCCACTATTGTAGTCAATAACAGTAATGTACATTGTGGAGGCTATGGTATTTCTACTGGAGGGTAATGTTCTAGCTAGGAGGAACAGCACTTGCCTGTTACATCCAAATCTGAGTTTGACTAAGCCTTGTGTAAAGTTGTTCCACTCTGATATATTTGCAGTGTGATAGGCATAAGGTAGTGCTGTTTATGTAACTCAGAGAACAACACAATCAAGGTAAATACATGTTGTGTAAAGTTACACAGATCCATTAAATGATCAGGCCACAACACTGGGAACTGGAGCATCACAATCTTTCATTTCAAAGTAATTGTCAGTCATTGTCAGGCTTTGTAACTTCTTTGCCTTAGTTTTCCTATTTGTGTTATCAGTCAAAATTAACACCCGTAATTGCCATTGTTACGAGAGGACCATTATTATTATTATTATTGTATGTAGCTTTTTTTTTTAAACATATAAGCACAGCAATAATAATCTTGGTCCTTTGCCAGAAGGCAAACCTGAGCCAGGGAGCAGTAAAGAAGCCTAAAAACCATTATGCGCTAATGATTTCACTCCGCTTCATGAGTTGAAGATATTGTGAAAGTGAGAGAGATGGATGTACAAATCTAGCGAAGCACAAAATGGCCTGACGCAGCCCCTGTTAATGTGAAGTCTCTGAAAAGCTGTCATTGCCCCAGCTATGGTGTTGGTGGGACTGGCTCAGAGAATTGGTAATGAGATACTGCTGTACCCCACTGGCACAACTCCAATCTATTTCAGTGGCCAAGGTTTCCTTTAAACTGAGCTTGCATGAGGCCATGTGCCCAGATTTTGGCTCCCACACCATGTGGGGTTTGCTTGTTGTAGCTCTTAGACCTGCCCCAGCTCCTCCTCTGCTGAGCAAGATACCCAGTGATGGAAGAACAGAGACCCCTGTCCCACTACCAGGAATGAGCCTGCTGGGAATGCATGGAAGAAGTGAGGGAGACCATGAGATGTGTGAAAGGTAAAAGTAGAAGGGAAAGGTTAGGTGCAAGAAGAGATGGTGTAGAGAGTGGAGCCTGAGTGGGGGTTGATGAAAAAGACACCAGGAAAAAGTACCCAAAGGTAGGGGAGTGAAATGTAGAAATTTTAGAAGAGCAAGGAGGAGATAAAAAGGGAAAGAGGGCACAAAGAATGAGACTGAGCAGAGTCTGGAAACCAGAAGGAAAAAAAAAAAAAAAGAAAAAGAAAATAACACAAAGCCAATTAGGACCCCACAGAATAAAAGGTTATCGGAAGAGGGATGAGATGAGAATGAAGGTAGAAATGGAAGATGAAGAAAGCTAGTGAAGACACCCAGAATAGAAAAAAGGCACAAATGAGTTGAAGGTCAGTGGCTTAGGTCTGGGATGCATTTTTTTTTTTTTTTAAACCTCAACTTTATAAAGGAGAAAGATAAAATGTGAGAGGGAAAAATACCATGGCTCTGAGAATCCAGACAGCAGAATGAGCCGTGTTTTAAAAAAACAACAATATTAATAATAGGAAAAGTGCATTTTGTGTGAAGAAGATACAGATGGCAAAGCCTCACTATATTGCTCATTAATAGTCTTCCTAAATTCCTGTTTCTTTTGTTAGGTCCGTGAGATTGAACTTACTGTAAAGAAAAAACATTACACATAAAAATCTTTCAAGGCTTAGCTTCTTGGTTTGTCACCTTGTTTTGTTTTTACACCCCCACTTGATGCTTCTACTTACACAGGGAATATGAGTAATGGAGGAAAGTTATCCCCAGCCAAGGAATGCTTAATAGCTCATGGAGCTGATCTTTGGCATGCAATTTTTATTACAGTAGATGGTACAATTCAAGGTAGGCATACTGCAAACAGAATCAGAGACAAATCTTGTACCAAAGAATTCACGTGAGAAGGCAAATTGACATCAGTAGCAAGATTTATCATCTGAATCATGAGGGATTGCTCTTAGAGATGATGGAACAAGAAGTCTGCAATAGTGTCAGGATTGTGCCTGATATTCAGGTCCTGCTGCAGCTTGGTTTGGTAACAGAGCTTGATTTCTTTTGGGGATGTGGGGCATCACAACACTGGGGAGCACTGCTGGGCAATCTCACCCTGCCTCAGCTGCTGCCGAGCACCAAGGAAGGAGGTGGGCGTTCATGTAGCAGGGCTGGGACAAAGAGCTCATCTGGGCAGGGACGGAGAGGAGTCTGAGAAGGATGTACAGCTGCAAAGGGACTGCAACTGGTGGAGGAAGCTAAACTGGAGCCATTGGGTAGGAACCACAGTGCATAGACTCCTCCTCCACTGAAAGGATGGGGTGTAAAGAACAGTACAGGGACTGGAGACCAGAAAGGGACCAGCGGAGCAGAGGTGTCTTTCCTGAGGTTCATTTATTTGTTTGTTTGTTATTCCTAATTCAGGAATAAAGAGGTAAAAAAAAAAAGTTAATTATACACTATACATACATATATATATATATTTAATTCCTTGATGGATTTGTTGTTGTTGTTGTTCATGACACCTGCACAGTGCTCAGGGTACATATAGCAAAAATGGGGGCTTAAACACTGCAAAGCCAAACTGGCCGCTGACACTTTTAGCCAAGGTCTTGCTGCTTAAAACAGCTGATAACAAAACCTGCAAAGTGGTCTGTAGCAGGGCCTGTAATGTGGTAATCTCCTCCCAGGGAAAGTTTCTTAAACATCCACAGTAAGGAATGCAGTGTCATCTTATTATAGGAATAAATGCAGGCAAGTGTAATGGCCTGAAGCAAGAGTGATCTATTTTATTGATCCCTAATGCACAGCTTTCACTCTGAAGAACATGTAAAGCAATAGGCTGTAATAGCCTGCTCTGAGCCTCCAGAGAGCAGGGAAAAAGTCATTGTCAGGATTTATCTTTGGGAAGCAAAGAACTCATAACCAGCCCTGAGGGGGGAAAGACAATCATACAAAGACTATTGGTTACCTGGTAATAAAAAAAGGTGACGTTCCCAAATGTGCCAAATAATAGCCTGTTTCATACTAACAATATTATCCACTGGGGATTATGTGAAGTTTGTCCTCATTAAGGTCAGAGAATGGCCTATTTTTTGCATGTCTGAAGGCAGGGAAGATGGGCTGGAGCTTGCTGGTAGCCTCAAGAAGGAAAATATAACAGATGGAGGGCTGAGTTCAGCTCACAGCCACCTATGTCTACAATAAGGAGACAGGGCTGGAGGCTGCATATTTGAAACATGCCATGTTTCAGCTTGTTTATACACGGTCCCTCTCTAAAGTGCATCTTCCAGCTATGCTGGAGAGCTTGAGGGGTACAAGATAACCATTTCCCTTCCTGCTATGGTGCTTACTTTGGCTTCCTGGAGAGCAGCTAATGCTCACTCTCTACAGAAATACGGAGTTGGGGCATTAAGCCTGTTTTGTTAGCTCTGGATTTTAGATTCTTACATCTTATTTTCTGTGGAAGTCATAGAACTTTCCTCTCCTTCACATACATCTTTTTAATAAAAGTGGCTTTGAAAATCATTCTTTAAATTTCTGTTTAAGAGATTTTAAATTTTATGTCCCTGGCAAACAACAACAGTAGGGGGCAAAACAATGTAAGCATCTCCAAATATACAATGAAAGACACAAGTGAGGGACACACTTACGGAAACTTATGTTTTAAGTATGCTGAATACATACCATGTACCATGAGCCACATACAATGCACTATGGTTCAGACCACAAAGGTTAAAAGGTATGGCATATGTAAGAACACAGATTAAGTAAATGTTGTTTAATGGTTTAATGCTCAGAAATTATCCTGCAAATGACAGATGTAGCAATGCCTTCCTATAGATCCGTCCTTACTCAATAACTAAGTACATGGAATAAACTTTTTTTTTTTAATAATTTGAGGTTATGGTTAAGCCATTATCACTGGAGACAGACATGTCCTTCAGCATGCTTTGCTGAAAAAGAACAACATTTGGTAGAAACTCAAGATTGTTTTGTGATCACGGCAGCAGAAGGAACGTGAACATGTGCTACATTGAGGCCAGATTCTGAAGCTTCTGCTGAACAAAATTGTGTTGTGGTAGTGTTTTCAGAGGGGGCTTGGAGATATGAGTAACATCCACAGAACTAGAATCATAAGAGTTTGATAACATACTGACTTTGGTTTTGTCAGTTTCTATTTCCATTGCAGAAAAGTCCATGAAACAAAACTGTTGAGTCAGGTTTCATCTGCTTTTATTTTTTTCCCCTTGCTATAATAAGCTTGTATTTTCAGTGAGGGCAATGGCACTCGTCACTGACACCAACTGAAAATAGTTCTGGCTTGATTTGATTCTTCTTTTTATTTCCTTTTTTGTCAACAGGGGAGGCTGGAGAAAAGGGGGAAAAAGGTGCACCAGGTCGTCCAGGCAGGGTTGGGCCTCCAGGAGAAAAAGGTAACTCCAGGAGAAAAGATGTTTTGAAAGTAATTTCTGACCAAATACTACCTTTTCTTTTGAGGTAATGTTGATGAGAATACTCTCTCCCATTGCTGGATGACTAAACCATCCTTAGGTGTTTCCATGTACCTTACATTCATTTGCACACTCATTTGTAAACTAGCTATTGCTTTTTGGTCCAAAAGGTTCATGGGAAAAAAATATATATATTTCTTTTTTTTTTTTTTAGTAAGGTCTCTGTAAAAAAAGACATCATAATGCCTTCTGCAAATGCAAACCTCATATTTTAACAGAGGGAAGAAATCATGAGGTACAGTTTCCTTTTGCTTGTAAATGTGAACACTCACAATACCTTAATTAAAACCATTGTGGGAAGGCATTAAGCCTTAATAGGCAGGGGTGGCCATGAGTGATTCCTCATTTCTTAGATCACAGTTCAGTAGTATTTATGGAAAGATGGTATTAACATTGCTTGCATTGTAGTTGAAAAATATTTGGAGCTCTTGAGAGGAATAGTGCTCAATCATATTCAGTTACAGAGCTGGGGGAAACAGCATTTCTGTCTTACAGGAAATTCTGTCTATTCACATTTGTTTTCCTCTTGAAACAGGGAGGAAATTTAACCTTCGTATTTTTTTTTTCAGGAGTTGCATATTCTGAAAAAAATAATCATATTAGGAATAGTAAAAAAACTTTTATTTCAATACTGAAATGAAACATTTGACATTACTGTCATCAGAGTGTTGGTGTTTTTACCAAAATTAATTTACAAGCCTTTTTTCAAAGTATTCACAGTAGTAACTTCCTTATGATGATGCACGATCCATTACGTAGTTCTTTTGGGCAGTTACAGAAACCTTATATTTGCAATTTCCCCTGGGACCAAGATCTACAGATAGAGCTCATCCCCTAAAACATATTGAAAAACTTACAACTCCCATGAGGTGTGTATGTTCAGTCTGTGTACTTCCCATATGAATATGTAGCCTTCAAGGACGACTCTCATAAAAAATATTGGAAACTAACATTTCAACTCCTACAAGGTAATGCAGCATGAAGAGAAGTAAAAGTACTACAGAATAATTTTGGTTAAAAGGTGATATGGAGGTCATCCATTCCAATTTCTTGCTTAAAACAGGGCAGACTTCAAATTCAGGTCAGGTTGCTGAGGGTCTTGTCCAGCAGACTTCTGAAAATCTCCAAGGATGGAGATTCCACAACATTTTTCACAGGCCTGCTCTCAAGTCTCATTATGAAAGACCTTTTCCTTAGGGCCAATTGAAAAATTCCTGCTTTTGTCTTGTGATCATTGCCTCTTGTCCTTTTGCTGTGCATTTCTGAGAAGAGAAGTCTGCATCAAACAGACTGCTACAAAGCTGCTGTTGGTAGTGGAAGATTGCAGTTATATCTCCCTCTTACCCTTGTCTTCTGCAGGCTAAATAAAACCACTCGGTTTGTTTAGCCCAGGGAAGACGAGGTTGAGGGGAGGACTCATGGTGGCCTGCAGCTTCCTCATGAGGGGAGAGGAGGGGCAGGCACTGAGCTCTGCTCTCTGGGGACAGTGACAGGACCTGAGGGAATGGCATGGAGCTGGGACAGGGGAGGGTCAGGCTGGGGGTTAGAAAAAGGTTCTGCACTGAGAGGGTGGTTGGGCACTGAGACAGGCTCCCTAGGGCAGTGGGCACAGCACCAAGCCCTCTGAAATTCAATAAACATTTGCTCTCAAAAATATGCTTTGATTTTGGGGTGGTCCTGTGTGGACCCAGGAGTTGGACTTGATGGTTGATGTATGTCATGTATTCAAAATGTTTTGAATTGGCTGAGAAATGGAAGTCCTGCTGTATGATCAGACAACGCAGAGTGTAACATCTAATTTATATAATTTTATATTGTAATGTTGCATTTACTTGGAAAATTATTGTCAAAAGGAAAGCTTGGTGAATTCTAATAATTAGGATAATTTTCCATTTTTTTGTATCTCCAAAATTCTGATGCAACTGCATGAGGAAACACTGAAATGAAAATTCACTGCAAGAAAATGTACTTGAAACAGAAAAGAGATGAAAGAAACTTAAATATTAATGCATTCTGTATTGTATTTTTCCAGGCTGTGCTTTCAGGCAAAATTCCTTACTGCTCAGTAGCAACATATTTTTTCTGCTTTCTTTTTTTGCATCCAGATTTGATTTGATTTATATATGTTCTTGGAATATTTAGTAAACACCTATATCTTAACATAGTAAGAAATTTAAGTACTGTGTTCTCAAAAATAACCAGTTCAGCAACTGTTCCTGATCATATTATCTAATATCTATTTGTGACCTGCTATTGGCTTTGCTTTTTTGCTCTGTTTTTGATCTCTTGATGGGCATACATCACTGATGTCCTTTATAGTCCTGGCCAAGTATTTTAAAATCTCAGTTGGTAGAAAGCTTAGATCCATGATGCAGGTACTTAACACACAGCTTAGTGAGTAACGAAAGGGGGATAAAATTGTTGCCTCACTTTGCATTTTACTCATTCTATAAGCGTACATGGATGAATACAGCAGCTCTGTTTCTGTGCTGTGTTTCTCTGTAGTCTGTTAAACTGCAGTCACTGTGTTAACACATTTGACCTCCTGTAGTTTTTAAGCATATTTCTATTGAAATTTGATAATTGCTGTCTTGTTGGGATAATATTTGGCTCCTTCTATGGATGAAAACTGCCACATTTCATTGTATATTGCTGCTATTTGAGTAAGTGATGGTTTACGCAAGGGAAACATTATTATTCTGTAATGTTTGGAGAGTTTTGTACTTTTGTTGTTAGTTTTCAATATCAGAAGCACAGTTTTTATTTCTTTATTTTTTGTTTCTTTCCCTTTCTTTGTTTTGTTCAGGCAAGTTCAGGAAGGACTTGTGCTTAGTTTCATTGAATTCAGTAGTATAATAATCAGTGAATAAATAACATACTTAAGAAATGTTTTTCTTATGGTATATTTGACCTGAAGTGAACATCTCAAAATTAGAAAGTTATGCAGATTTTTTTGTCATATCCTTTCCTCATAATATTTTCATATTTTAGTAATTCAGACATTGATAACTATTAAAAATTTCTGCTGCTTTCTTGAAATAAATTTGTTTCTGAGTGTCCTGATGTTTCAGGTGACATCAGACATCCTGATGTCTTTGGGCACTGATTAAGGTTAAATTCCACTTACTTTCTTCATTGCTTATAATTAATTGTATAGGTCAATTATGATGCATAGCATGTCAGCAGAATTTAAAACTGTGTTAGCCTTATGTAAAGCATAGAGCACTGGATCAAGTAAAATGGCTGATTCAGACAAAAGTAATGTGTAGTGCAATGCAAGTTTTGGGGTGTGAGGTTAATGGACATAACTTTTCCACTTGCTCTGATAGCTGGACTGCACACTCCCAAGTTGGGATCGAAGTCAATTATTTAATTTAGATTTGATCCTATCTGTGAGACCAAAACTTACATGTTTACAAATTCTGAACAGATACTTCAGTAAAAATACAATACTGTGAATATTCTCAGAGTAGCATAGATTCTGTTTATGTCAATCAAAATAAGGAGAGGGTGAATTTAGTGTTGGAAACCATAATCAAAAGAGCAGGACATTAAAAATGTGTTTAGATATTTAATTTCTTTTAGAGCTACAACCATATGAAAATAGATTATTTTAATATTTTCATTCCAGCCTTTATACATCGTGCTCTGTTTATATGGGTGTGTTAAGTACAGTCACACAATAGTGTTGGGCATGAAACACAACTCTATCTCTGCAGTGTTAGCTCAGTCCATGGTGTGATTTTGGCTTGTGGCAGCTAACAATTTCTCAGGCAATTCTTGGGCACATTTTGGGAGCTAACACAGTGAACAGCTTGCAACTGATTATCCTAGTTTGAAGAAAAAGACAATTTACAACCGTGGAATGTCCCATTCTTGGCCACCTGTTTCTCAGTGCTAGGAAACTGTCCCAGGCATTTAGCTTACTGGTACAGACATAGCCTCTAAGTATGAGAGAAGACTCATTAATTTATCTGGATAGGAGCCAGAGTGCTCAGTCATTTGTATAATCAAATTCTAAAGAGTGGTAATAATATCTTAATTTATATTTTAGTATTACTGATTGCTCATTAATATGTAATCAATCAATTCCTCACATTTCTGAGTCAACTTTTACATGAATTTATTGCTCGCTGAGGAGTGCTGCAGGCAGAATTCCATATAGAAGTCCTGACATTGACAGTTGTGGATTCACAAAGTGGGTATCTTATTCAGAACTATCTTTCAGTTCCATCAGAACACAGTGGGATTTTGAGAAAACCTGTGCTAAGCTGAGTGGACAAGAACATGGCAGATGGGCTTCCGTGTAAATAAATATATTGCATAGGGACCTTAGGGATACATAATTTAATCCATAATTACGTGATGCCAAACAAAAGAACTGTCACTTAAAACTCAAGAACCTCTTTCAAATCATTAGCAGCAGTCCCAAAGCCAACAAACTCTGCTCATCATCAGAAAAGATAACAAGAACAAAACAGGAAGCTCTTCTTTGCAGCTGATTTTGCTCTGTATCAAAACCTGACGTGCAACAAGTAACAAGTGTGGCTTGTTATACAGGAGGTTAGAGAGGGGCACCAGAAATGTGAAGATGGAGAAACTGCCTTGTAAGGAGAAGCTGGACAGGTTGAGACTCTTCCAGCTGCAAGGAGGAGTCTGAGGAGGATATGATTGAGGTCTGCAGAATCCTGAGAGCTGTGAGTAAGGTGACCTGCTGTTCACTAGGTCCATCATATCCAAGTTAGGATGCACTCACTGAAGCTTCTGGGAGACAGATTTAGCATTGCCATCTGCAGTGGACTGCAGGTAGTAGCCAGGGTTGCATGATCTCTCTGTATTACACCTCCTGCTGTCACTGTGGTAATCAGAGTGTTGAGTCAGAGGGACCACTGATATGAACAAGTTGGGTATTAGGTTCTTAA